ACTGACTGACTGCGCGCGCGGCTCTTGCCGCGCATGCGCATTCAGCCGATGACTGGAAAGGAGGAGGAGAGTCTCCAGCACCGAGGGAGCCCGGTAATGGAGAAAGGTAAGTGTTTAACCCCTTCCTCTCCATCCAGCCCGGTGGGAGTGGGACCTTGAGGGTGTGGGCACCCTCAGGGCACTATAGTACCAGGAAAACGAGTATGTTTTCCTGGCACTATAGTGGTCCTTTAATTGAAAAGAGGAACAAAGTTATTTTCCAAAATAAGTGATTTCAACTTGATTCCACAATCAGAGATTATTTCACAAATGAGTCCATGAAATTTAACGATATTGGATACGAAGTCCGTAGCATTTTCATTGGATGTAGGAATCTTTGGTAGAGGTATGAAATGAGACATATTCGTAAAATGATCAAAATTTCTGCAATGGTAGTTTGTTTTTGAGATAGGGGCAATTCAACAGTGAAGTACATAGATTTCCAAGGTCTGTAAGGTATAGTCAGATTCATCAGGGATTGCAGAGATTTGGTTTTGATTTTTGACCTACTGGACAAGAAGAAACTAATTTCAAAACAGAATCAAGTAGCTGTGGCTACCAAACATGTCTACACGCTAATGCAGATGTTTTCTTTACCCCTACATGCCAAGGATCATCATGGACCAGTTTCAAGGCCTCCGCATGTAGAACAATTTGGGAACATATACTGTATCATTCTTTAAGTAAACTTCATCTCGTTTTATTTAAATAAAGATGGCTTGACTGCCAAAGCCATTTCATTGATAGGTAATTTTTTTTATTTGGTCACTGAATTGTGATGTTATTACAGTGAATTTGGTGGCTAGGAGTACTGATGTAGGACATAGTCTTATGTTTTCTGAGATAGGTAATCTAGACAAAGAATCAGCCTTTTTGCTCATTGAACAAGGTTCGTATACTATGTAGATGGTCTGATACATATATGTCTGAAAGGCAGAGATGTTCCGGGAAGGATACTTTTAGGCCAATCATAAATCCTGTATGGAGGTAAGGATTCAGCTTCTTTTTTTTTTTACTGAATTTGTTCTAGTATATTCTATATACTGTTTACATATTGAGCCCTCCTTTGTGATATGTAAAAGGGAGGAATGAGAAAAACACATTTCCTGACAGTAAGTGGTGACTGGTGGGGTTATGCAGAGTCAACCAATCCGTACCTAATATAATAGGAAAGGTCAGTGATTTAACTATATCAAAATATATGATGAATTCAGTATCTCTTTTGTTTGCAAAGGACTGCTTTTCTGTTTTATGGGACCTGAAGGCATGAAAGAATGATCAACCACTCGAAAAGTAACAAAAGTATCTTTAATTCTGTCAGTAGTGTATGATCTTGGTTTTAATGCAAAAAGTAGCTTGCATGAATTGTAAAATTCACAATATGTTGCAATCACCTGAAAATCTTTCAGGAAGACAGGCAACAGTTTCAGGAGCATCACGAAAAGATCCTCAAGTAGTGGGAGTGGAGAATATCAGATTTTGGATTTCTTTAATATAAGACAGGAGACGCTCATTTAGCTATTTGTAATTCCTGCATGCCTTGAGACAACAAGTGCACTCTTTGAGTTAATTAGTTTATTTGAGAAGGAATATCTGCTGGTTCCATAGTGGGCTCACTTATATAATATTACTTAACTTTTCCAGATTAATTAGGAACTCAACTGTTGATAACTTGACAACGTGTACCACTCTAAGAGATTTAAGCAATGGAGGATTGATAATACTAATTCAATGTAATAGCATAATCTACAAAAGTAATGCTTTTAATACCTTTTTAAGGTAGTACAGTAACTCACAGATTGTTGAAAGAGTAATGGTAATTCTAGTCCAATGAGACAATATAAGAACTTGCAGGAGACATAGGAAAATCAGCTTCTCTAAATAAACTTGCAGGCAGGATAATGAGGGTAATGTAGATAAGAGATACTAGTTTATATTGGCAATCAAAAAGGGTGGTCTGTGCAGGGTTCTGGTTTACGAAGTTTCAGCAATGTGGTAGCTCAAGAAACAACTTTGTATTGCAAAGTAACAAAATAACTGAACAATACAAATTTGTCTTATTAATGAAGCTTGCGGCAATGTCCGTGCATGAGAGCAGAGTTTCACAACTGATGAAGTTCGGACCCAGAAGTGGCATTAGGGAAATCCCCGGTATCAGTAAGTTCTGACAGATAGTGCTAGGGGATACAAACATGTATTCCTAACACTATAGTGTCCTAGTCCCTAGTTAGATTCAAGGTGCCTTGTTAACCCCTGTTTTAAAAAAAAATAAGAAACAGAAAAAAGGTTTATACTTATCTTTTTTACAGGGCTGAGACTCAGTTGATGGTGCTGTCAACTTCTTCTCCCACTACAGAATCTTGGAGGCATCAGCTGCAGTCTTCTTGTCTAATCCAATGTCGTTCATGGAGGAGCCATGCATGCGTCCAATTAAATGCTTCTCATAGGGAAGCACTGAATCCAGGAGGACATTGAATGTCACATGACTGAGTTTTACTCAGTCGTTTCAGAGGAAGCCCTTCTTGTGGCTGTCAGGAAGACATCCACAAGAGGTGTGTTTAACCTGTTTTTACAAAACTGCAATGTTATACATTGCAGGGTTAAAAAGACACCGTGGCAACGTCATTGAAATTTATCATTGGGATTAAGTGGTCTAGGTTACATAGTTACATAGCTGAAAAGAGACCTGCGTCCATCAAGTTCAGCCTTCCTCACATTTGTTTTTTGCTGTTGATCCAAAAGAAGGCAAAAAAAAACCCAGTTTGAAGCGCTTCCAATTTTGCAAAAAGCCAGGAAAAAAATTCCTTCTTGACCCCAGAATGGCAGTCAGATTTATCCTTGGATCAAACAGTTATTACCCTACATTGAAAGATTATATCCTTGAATATTCTTATTTTGCAAGTATGCATCTAGTAGCTGTTTGAACATCTGTATGGACTCTGATAAAACCACTTCTTCAGGCAGAGAATTCCACATACAGATTGTTCTTACAGTAAAAAAACATTTCCTTTGCCTTAGACAAAATCTTCTTTCTTCCAGTCTAAACGCATGACCTTGTGTCCTATGTAAAGTCCTGTTTGTGAATAGATTTTCCATGGTTTGTATTGGCCCCGAATATATTTGTATAATGTTACCATATCCCCTCTCAGGCGACGTTTTTCTAAACTAAATAGCTTTACATTTGTTAACCTTTCTTCATAGCTGATATGTTCCATTTCTTTTATTAATTTTGTTACCCGCCTCTGCACTTTGTCTAGTGCCATAATATCCTTCTTTAGAACAGGTGTGTGACAGACCCGCTGGCACTCCGACCAAGTACCTCCGCCAATCGATGCTCCTAGTGCTTGCCGAGGACTCCAAGCACTCCAACCGACACCATCAGCACTGCAGACTTATCACATCCCCCAAGCATAAGCCAAGGCTTCAAGAAAGGGTCAAGCAGGTCTGTTTAATGAGCACACAAAAGCAACAGCACTCATGCAGCAAAACAACTCCTCCTCAGAGGAAAACAAAAATTACAGTTAAAAGGGTCAGACAGAGTTTGAAAATATGACAGCTATTAAGGGTTTAAACTGGTGTTCTAAGAGGGGTGGATAAAACAGTCAAACTAAGCCCATAAAACAGGGGTTTTCTTCACACTCTGCATCCGAAGTGCCATAGCAAAACTGCAGATCCTTTGTCAGAGCATTTAAAGGGCCAGAACCAGTCTAATTAAATCCACTATGCCCAAATAACAAATTGAAAGGGCAAAATTTTCCAGGGGCCATAGTCATACGGCAAGAGGCTGGTAATTAGTCCTCTCCAGTCACAAGTGGCAAAGGGCACTTCGTCACAAGGTGCCCAAAATTGCACAGCATATTCAATATGTGGTCTTACCAGTGATTTATAAAGAGGCAAAATTATATTCTCATCCCAAAAATGAATGCCCTTTTTCATGCATGACAATACCTTACTGGCCTTAGCCACTGCTGATTGACATTGCACATTGTTGCATAGTTTGTTGTCTATAACAATTCCCGAGTCCTTTTCGTGTGTTGTTATCCCTAATTCGCTTCCATTAAGGGTATACGTTGCTTGTGTATTCTTTACGCCGAAGTGCATAACTTTGCATTTTTCAACATTAAAATTGTAGATTATGCTAGCTTTAGTGTACCTATAATCTTAATTTTTTTTATTTTTTTTAAAATTCTTTATTTTTTCTGTGCGAGAAAATTACAGGCATTTGTGAAGTGCCACAACAGCATGCATAGATTAAGTAATAAACATTCAATTAGGCACTTGGAATCTGCACATTTTTAGTTATTATGTTGAAGCAGGCTAGACACAATTTTTAGGTATATAGCGAGAAGATGACACGTTAAACATGTATCAGTAAACAATAATGAGACAATAGGCTAAGCTCTAAATACTCTAGCTGACAGCATGGGAGTGAGTAGCCAAGGTGAGTAGTCGAGGTGAGTATCCAGGATGTGTATGCATGTTAAGGTATAGTAGATAAATGTTAGCTTAAACAACAGTATAGTGTTATTGCACAAATTTCTAGTTAAGTGGCTGGGTTTCAGACTATTCATGTATGTCCGGTTATATTGTACTATAGATTCTACCTTCAGTGTGGGTTAGCTGGACATGTGAGTGGTTAAATAAAAACTAGATTAACAACATGCTTTTAAGATACGAGTTGGGAGGGAGCAATTTGTTAGGCAATCAGGCAGGTCAGTATTAAGGCCAATATGTGACTGGCTGTCTGGAGACATGTCTAGTGGGAGTACTAAGAAAGTTTATAATCATGAGAATAATCTAATTGAGCCTATTCTACATATGGGTGTTGGAAATAGATTTAGTGAACACATCAAATGTACATATCAAATTAGATGAAAAGGTACGGTTGGACTTGACGCTCAGCCATTTAAGTCCCATACTGTGAGCAAACTGATAGCTGGAACTCGGGCAGCTGTAACCTGTCATCCGATGCCCTTGGTGTGTTTCAAAAGATAGTTTGTTTGATAGCCCGGTTTGTGGGCTCCCCAGCTTGGTTGATTGCCACTGTTGTGTAGTAGGTGAGCTGCTACCTCCCGGTCCCAAACCAGGGGGACTGTATGTCTCATGTTGCCGCTTGCAAGCAGAGCTCTAGGCGCCTCAATCTTCCTATTCGGGAGAGAGCGAGCAGGCTTGGGTGTCTGGTGGGGTCTGCGTCTCCGGTATCGTGCTGTTCGCCGGTGTCGCGGCCTTTGCAGCGGGGTGAGTCTCCATGTGGGTCCCATTGTGGATTTGGCAGGAATTGGAGGGGCAGCTGGCGGCATAGCAGCATGCTGTACAGTGGAGCCCCCTTGGTGGCATACTTGTGGTAAGCTTTGGTGACTCTTGCCGCGCTGTTGTAGCTTAGCTGGTTTCAGAGCGGGAGGCAAGCCCCTCTTCTCTAACTGCTCCCAGAAGTTCCTGCAAACAGCGTCGAATTTAGCATGGAAGGCCGCTGCCCATTCCTCGGCTGTCTCATGTGGCAAGTTCGCGGCACTGCCGTCGGCCATCTTGGCTTGGCCTCGTGGGGCTGTTTGGTCGGAGTTGCTTTTACGGGTGTCCCGGAGGTGAGTGTTCTCCGTGGGCTGGTGGACCGGGATGACCCCCGCCAGTCCAGAGGGGGGGGAACGAGGGCCCTTCTTCACAGGGGCATTTGGTTGTGGAGAGGGGAGAGCGGCCGTCTCTCCCGTGCCTGCCTGTCGAGGAGGCCTCAGACGCTTGTCCGAGAGGTGCATCTCGTTTTGTTGCTTGAGAGGTATCCTACTGCTCCGCTTAGTGTCCCCCTTCATTTGCCGGCCTTTGTGGCCCGATTAGTCGCCGTTTAAGAGGTAAAAGGTGGTTTTTAATGCAGATCGTTGCAGGAGCTCTGGAGATTGTCAACCACTCGGCTCTGCGGTCAGTCCCCGCCCCCATAATCTTAATTTTATTAATGACAGGAGGCGAATATTTGCTTAAGTCTCTCTTTACTAGAACTCCACAGCAGCAAAAAAACTCAGAGAGTAACAACCAATCAGAAAACAGTAAGGAGACCATATAACTCCATTCTCAACATTCCATTTCCTCTTTCAAGCTGCGATAACAACACAGACAGAAAAAACATAACATAACAATAACAGTCCATCTCCAACAGAAATAACGACTCTCTTAGGATTCTTCACCCGAAATGAAGATCTGAACGTGATCCCATCCTGGAATCTTTACACTGAAACGAGATAAACAAAATCGAAAATTGTGATTAGCCAATGAAATGTACGTATAAAAACATGCAGCCACCCAGCGCAATTTTATAGAGAACATCATCAAGTCTACCGATCCCCGCCCTAGGCAATAATGAAAAAATACATATGTTAAATAATCACAAGGAATACTGACCAGAGATATAACTCTTTATTAATACTCAACATACAAGATAAAAATACAACAAGGGTTGGGAACAAAAAGGGTGGGAAATATTCGCCTCCTGTCATTAATAAAATTAAGATTATAGGTACACTAAAGATAGCATAATCTACAATTTTATCACATGGCAGGAGGCTTCATATTTGCTGTTTCAACGCTCAGCCAGTAGGGCAAACGATGCATGTTCCTTCGGTCTGAAGTAAAACTGTCGGAAGGTGTCCTCCCGAGACCAGTCTGCTGAACGTAGAATGTCGGACAGGGATGCACACGCTACTAGTGCTCCTGACGCCGCCGCGCCCCTAACCAAATGAGCACCAAATGAGGACTCCACGCCGGCCAACGACAATAGCCATCTGATCCAGCGAGCCAAAGTAGTGGTCAAAACCGGTTTATGTGGTCGTACGTAAGATATCAACAGTTGTCCCAATTGGGACAAGGTAGAAACCACACAGAGCTTAGGAGCCTCTCGAAAAAATGGGTAGAAAATGGCAGTGGAGTCTGACTTGGTACGTCACGACACCGAAAAGGTCACCCCATCTGGGGAAAAGGTGAACGCGTTAACATCAAAAGTCCGAGCGTCGGAGACCCGACGAAACGATACCAGGCACAAAAGAAGCGTAAATTTAGCTTACAGTTGTCGTAGAGAAAGGTCCTGATTCTCCGGCCATGTCTGAATGAAATCCAAAACCCGGTGTACGTCCCAGAGCGATGTATATTTAGGAGCCGGAGGATGTGACAGTCTGATCCCTCTCAATAATCTGCAAACCAAAGGGTCTTGTCCAATGGGCATCCCCTGCAGAGGGACATGAGCCGCTGAAATGGCCAACCTGGCAACGTTAACTGAATGATACGACTTCCCTTGATCGAAGAGGTGAGAAAGGAAATTCAGTACGCTGGATATAGGTGCTGTAAAGGGATCGATACTCCGTTCCATGCACCAACGACACCAGATGTTCCAGGCTGGCAGATAAAATCTTGTCGTTCCTGGGGCCCATGAGTCCCAGAGGAGATTTCTAGCTGATCCCGATAGCTCATCGACATTCCAGGTACCCTGGAAATAGTCCAAGCCACCAAGTGCAGGTGGCCTTCCAGTACGAGGGGGTGATTGTTGCCGCGTGGTCCTGACAGGACGGAAGAAGAAGCGAGTCCCGACATGACAGCTCCAGCAATTCTGGGAACCAGGCTTGGCCCTGCCAAAGAGGCATCAAAAACACCAACGATACCTGTAATTTGGGATCTGGAAGTTTGTCCTGGAGGCGAACAGATCCACTGTGAATGGTCCCCTTTGCCGCGCCACTTCGAGGAATACTGGTCGATGCAGCCGCCAATCACTGGCATCCCTCCAGTGTCTGGAGAACAAGTCTGGCATCAGGTTCGACACTCCTGGGAGATACTCTGCCTGTAGAGTGATATTGCGAGTGTCCGTGAGCGCCACCCCCCCAGGCGGTTGATGTACTGCACCGCCGATATATTGTCCATGACCTGCAAGGCTGTGTAAAGCGAATGAGCCCGCAATCATTTCCAGGCTGTTGATGTGATATCCCGCCTCCGTGCTTGACCAGGGGCCTCCGTGGAGGCGGCTGTGCAGGTCGCACCCCGGCCCCATAGGCTCGCATCCGACTCCAGGACAAAGTCCAGGGTTGGTCCAAAGATCGCTTTGCCGTTCCAGGCTGACATGTGTAACAACCACCAACGAAGTTCGGTCTTGACTTCCTGCATGACAGAAATCAGCTGGTCGTACGAGGGTTTCCTGCGTAGGAAGCGCGCTTTCAGGCGCTGCTTGGCCCTATAGTGAAGGGGGCCCAGGTAGATGGCTTGGATCGATGCGGACAAGAGGCCTACCACTCGTGCCAAGACCCTAAGTGGGATCATTTCCTGGCGCATTATCCGTCGAATCTCTTTCCGAATGGCCGTGATTTTGGTCTGAGGGAGGCGTAGGATGCACTGAGTCGCATCTATTTTGAATCCCAAAAACTGAACTACTTGCGTCGGTGTGGAGAGCCGACTTCTCTTGGTTGACCACAAACCCCAGGTATTCGAACAAGGAGACCGTGTAGAGTGTCTGAGATTTCAGTCTGGAGGCCTCCTTGCAGAAAAGGAGTAAATCGTCCAGATATATCAGGCATCGAATGCCTCTGGAGCGCAGGCATGCCGTTACCGGTTTTATCAGTTTGGTGAAACACCATGGTGCCGAGCTGAGGCCGAATGGGAGGCAGGTGAATTGGCATGGCCTCCCTTTCCAAACATAGCGTTGAAATTGTTGGCAACCGTATTCCACCGGAACGGATAGATATTTGTCCTTTAGGTCTAGGCGAGTGAACTAATCTCCTGGGCGCAGTAAGTCTCTCAGAAGATGGATGCCCTCCATCTTGAAGTGTTGATAGGAAATGAAGGCGTTCAGGTTTCTCAGGTTTATAACCGGACGGAAATCTCCCATTTTCTTCCTGACTAGAAAAATGGTGCTGAAGAAACCTCCTTCGTCCGGCGCCCACTGAACTGCCCCTTTGTCGAAGAAGGCCTGTATTTTGGCATCCATCAGGACCTGTAGGTCTCTCGACGAAACCGGAGTCCGGAGTGTTATCTCCTGGACCGGCGGGGAATGGAAGTCTGTAACGTAGCCTCGGACCGTTTGGCGTATCCATGCATCCAAAGAAATGTCCCGCCACCTGTCGAGACAAAAACGCAACCTGCCGGCATGTAAAGGCCTGGAAAAAACATGTGGTGTAATATATCTCACCTGTGGGCATTCTGCCTCTTCCACGCGCCCGGTTTCCTCTGCCACAGTCCGACCTCCAAGACGTGAAAGACCCAGAGCGGTAGCTGGGAAAAAGGATGGTGTCCGGGATCCTCGGTGGCTCGAAGGCCAGAAGCAGCTGGAGGCACGACCCTGCTGCCTTCCATCCCTGTCAAGAACACGAGAAGTGTGAGAGCGGAACACCCTCTTCATTAACGATTGCGCCTTATTCAGAGTAGCATAGAGGTTAACATGCCTCTGGATCGCCTTGATGAAGGGCTCCATGAAAAGAAGTCCTCTTGCCAACGGACCCAGCTCCTTGGGCCCAACTCCGACAATTTTGTGTCCACCGCCTTCCTCCGCTCCGTGCATAATGCCACGTTGGAGTTGCCCAGCAGGCAAATCGAGCGTAATGCCCAATCTTTGATGGCTGCAGGGTCCAGGGACGAGCCCTGCGAGAAAGCCTCGTCCGCCATGGTAAGGATGCAGGCCAGCGGCCCCAACATGTCCAGCACCTTATCTTGTGCAAGGCAGAGGCGGCTTTCATTCCCTTTCTTGGGATCGCGCCCGGTCCGGGTCAAATAGGTGGAGACCATGAGGTCGAATTCGGGTGTCTGGTAAGGTGGGTCTGGGGCACTCTACCCTCAACCTCTTCCGAACTGCCCAATGGAGGGGTTTGCTAACCCAATAATGGACGAACTGGGCCAGATGTTCGGGTGGGGACCACTCAGGAGACCGAGGGTGCCGGATGGTGTGTGGGTCAAATAGGGCTTTGCCCGTTGCATCCAAGAACACGTCCTCCCCAAAGGAGGGGTGTAGGTGTTGTGAGGCAGTGTCACCAGCGTCCTGTTGGTACACCAGTTCCTCCGATTCTTCTCCACCCCACCCGCCTTCGTTCTCCGAGGGGGACTGATCCGCCCGCCATTCATCCAGGATGGACAGTGGTGCGGGGAGGGTGAATTCTTCCTCCTCTTTGGGAAAGTATCTTGGGCGTGCCGGAGATGAAGCGGTCGCCCGTTTGGGTCACTTTGCAGGAGCCTTACCCTTCCGGGTAGCTGGCTCAGGGCCTTCACCCTTCCAGTAGCGCTTAGGCGTGCGTGAGTGGTCAGGGCCGGACTCTATCAGCGTACGCTGAGTCTCCGATGTATCCCTATCTTGGGATGACTGGGATAGAGCACGTGAGAGCGCTTTCTCCACAGAAGCGGCAACGGCCACGTTGATCATTGCCTGCAGGCTCTCTTGTGTCGGAGCGTCCATATCCTGACCGTAGCGTGACCCTGGGGGTAGAAATGACAGGTGTCACCCAATTATATGGAAGCAATGTATGGGGTGTAGTTCCCAGTGTCTACAGCGTGGGCACAGTGGATCCCAGTGTAA